CTATGTTCAACCGGTCTCTTGTAAAGTTATCTTTGACATATTTTAAATTTATTGGTTGCTTTCTGAAAATGTGGCTACTTCTGGTTGAAAAAAAATTGTTCCCTAGTCTCTCACCTCCAGAGGCATAGCTTTGTAGAATAATCTATAGATATAAAGAGGTTTTACTGTTGAAACAAAGAGAAAGAAAAAGTTGTTTCTCAGCAGAAAAATGCAACAAAGACTTTACTTCTTGCCAAATAACTTAAGAATGTCTGAACAAAAACATCACAAACCTGGCTAGTGCCAGAATTTCTCAGATGAGTCAAGAGAGGAGAAAAACACAGATTATACCCCAAACTACCAAGAGATGGATGAATGGCAAAAAGGACACAATACATAATTTAAAATGTTGTTAAACACTTAAAGAAGTAAATGTAACCATTTTCTAGGAACAGCAATTATACACAGGAGTGTGTTCTAATAAATTTTCTTCTGAAAACAATTGGTGAGATCCTACAGAGATTCCTTATCTTCCTCCAAGGCTGTCCACATCCCTGGAGACCCAGGAAGCCCTCTGAATCTCTACTCTCTACCTACCTAGAGGATCTCTTACCAGATACCACCTCAGGTGTAATGTTATAAAGCATTCCTCACAATGTGGCTAGTCTTTCTAACCAGACGGCAAGCATCTTAGATACAGAAATATAGTCACGTTATGTCCCCAGCAGCTCCGCGGTGCCTTAACTACTTACCAATTGATTGATTCATTTAAGAATTTATAAACGTTTTCTTCAAACTAATAGAGAATAAAAATCTGAAAGTGTACTTCATTCCATTATACCAGAATACAAGTAGAACCGGCAATACCATAAATTTTAAATTACTCACTTTTTGAGGAAACTGTAGACTCTTTTGCATGCAGAGAAATATAATTGCTTGGTGTCCACTCTCACTTAATATTATGTCTTGCAAAATACCAGATAGATATCAAAGGCAGGAAGGTGAGTGTCGATATGGAAAAGAGAAATCAATTTGCAGTATTTTGGTATCCTAGAACCAGTGAAACTTTCTCTTACATAGAAAAGTACTGTTTGGTATGCAAATATTATTAAACTTAACACCAGTTGTTAAGTTTTCAGAACTGTTATCCTCAATAGGATAACTTGAAAATTGAAACAGCTTTAAGAAAAGACGTTTAACAAAACATGGGATGTTTAATGAAAAATTTCCCACAATATGACTGTCCCTGGTCCCATTTTTAGAAAGAAAATCCTGAGCTATTTAGAATATGGAATGATGAATATGGATAGACCTGGCTAGTCTAGAAGAGTCTATTCTGGCTAGGATAGAATATGAGTATGATGATGACAACATTTGTGCAAGAATTTTCAGTTTATAGAAATACATCAAAATTCATTAATACCTCTTTCAAAGATTTATATGTTTTGCTTGTTCAAATATTTGTATATATTTATACATATTTGTACATCTTGATTCTCAATTTAAATGCATTACTTCACTTACTGCTCTTTTAAGGATTTATACATATTCTTTTTTAATGACTTATACACAGTTCTTTTTGACTTAGGAAAATGAAGTAGCTAAAATCCTGGAAGAACAGGGTTGTATCTTAACTACTTTATAGCATCCTATATGCAGAGCTGAAGACTAGACATACTAGCTCCCTTTCTTCAAATGGGTAAATGAATACACAGAAATGTTAAATAATTTACTAAAACGTATGTAGGGATGACCTTCTCTTGGGTTTCCTGATTTCCAAGACAGCCCACATCAGATTATTTTGATTCTGTTCTAGCCAATTTGAGACCTATAGAGTCCCAAGTTTCTCTGACTTCATCCATACATACCTTTGCAAATGATTCTAGGAAATGAGGGAACAATACTAAACCGAATGTGCCGTGATGTGTGTAGAATATATTTGACACTTGTCTGGCTAACCCTACTTAAAACCTAACCCTAGGTTTTAACCCTAATTCTCTACCTAAACGGTGGTATTGTAGACTCACTTCTGCATTTCCTTTCTTATTTAATGTCCTTATGATCACGAGACGACTAAATGCTCAGGTCCTGAGCTACATTTCCATGTTTAGTAAACCAGGAAATAGTGAAAGATACATCTTGTGACACTTTCATTCCAAACTTAGACTAGGCATGAGTATTTAATGACAAGTAAATAGATGTGAATGAGAAAGAGGTCAAAATTTGAATAATCTGGATTGGTATCTAAAATAAATTATAAGGAAAAAAGCTTATATACGAGGTTTTAACCAATATATTTCTCTCTCTATGAAAACTTTTCCTGATTCTAACAAGTAAAATTATTTCCTCTTTAGTGTCTCACCATCTGTAGCCCTCACAACTCCCAAAACATTTGATCGTAACTTGTTTTACACAGGTCTTTTAAAGGTAAAGTCTCTACAGAAAGGGAATGTGTTATATTCAACTCTGTATTCCTATTAACTTTAATAATACGGAAACATAGTAGATGCTAAATATGCTTGTTTCATAACCGTGGAATAAAATGAATGTTTGTGTAGCCTGTGCCATTAAGGATTTTATACTAGAGCTGGGGGATCATCAATCACTTAATATTTAGTGGTACCTACCGTAGGATGTAAAGGAAGACAATAACAAGATGCATCCTGAGGACTCGGGAATGGCAGAAATGAAATTACTCTACATAGAAGAGAGGGATTTTTGTAAAACATCAACTGAAAGAGAACAGGACGTGACTGGAAACTGCCGATTATATTTAAGACCTTCTGAAAAACAAATGTGTGACTTGGAAAGAGAGTTGGTCACTCATGGGAATGATGAGAGGTGCAGAATAATCCTCCAAGTAAGCACTTTCCCAGGACAGTAAGCATTCAAGGGAGCACTGTCCACTATTCAAGCTCATTCCACAGAAGGACACTACCTACCCAGTCCTGTGGGCAGGACTATCCTTAGGTTAAAAAAATGTGTCACCAATCTTCTTGTTCTAATCCTTTAAACGTGATTCACTTGACAAGTCGCTTTTGCCTTGATTCCATGCTCACCAAGAGTTCTGATGGCTCTAATTAAACTCACAGAGCTCACCTGAAGGTACCTGAAACATTAGCCTGAGGATGTGGGTTGTGCTAGACAGTTACACCTCATATTGAAAACTAATAAATTAGAATCAATCAGATGAATCAGAGGAAGATGAGTTTGCCTCTGGCTGATATAGCAACATGTGGTATCCTGCCACTCACATCACTGTGCTTGTGAGTCTGAGGGCCAGAGTTAGATACCCCCAAGATGATTCCTCCCCACGGGTACTTGCAGTCTTCCCTCGGCATCACATCTTTGGCTCCTGCATGAGCCACGTGCCTTTTCTTCAAACGTCTGCACAGATCATGTACTTAACACTATGCTTTAAACCACTAGAGAGTGATCCAAGATAACATATAATTAAGTGAGAAATTGTTTGGCATAAACTAAAAGCGCTACAGAAATTCCAAGAGAGTAAGGATCATTGTGGTGGGCAGTTATCCAAGGAAGGCTTCCTAAAGGCCTATGGTGTTAAAAGGGAACTTGATGTCTGGGTAGGATGTAGGTGGGTGGAAAGAAAAGGAGGGCATTTCTAAGAGGAGGATGGAGGCCAGAACGCTGGGCCACATTGCTGAAGTATTAGAACCACAAATTGGGACAACATACTCTCTTACTTCCTTCAAAATAAAACCTGGAGATTGATGAGAAAAGTAAGAAATCAGCCTTCTCATATAAGCACCGATCCGTTAGCATGAGTAAAACAAAATAAAATAAAATGAATCCCAACCTCCTATCATGTGTCAAGAAGAAGGATATTAACACTCTTAATTATTTGCTCTTAAGACCAATTTTTTAAAGCTTTCATCAATGCAATGAGAATATTTATCCAAACTTTTAAAGCAAACAAAGAAGAAGAAATAACATTATCTGTCACCAATAGAAAAGCAAGTTTGAGTGCTACAGTATAATAAATTATTTATTATACTGATAATGGATTTGTTCTAGAGACTAACACGACCACAGGAAAGGAGGCTTTACTATAAATAACTCCTAGTAAAAGAAACTTTTAAATATTTTTTCTTTCATTTACTCTAAAAAAATCTTTATAGATAGATAAAACTATTATCTTTAAAAATGCAACATTTATATTAGGAAAAAAATCAGAAATTCATGTGTGCTTTCCCCACTCCTATTTATTTTTTTTAAGAGACAGGGTCTTACTCTGTCACCCAGGCTGGAGCGCAGCAGTGCAATCATAGCTCACTGCAACCTCAACCTCCTAGGCTCAATTGATCCTCCCACCTCAGCCACCTTAGTAGCTAGGACTATAGGTGTATACCACCACATCCAGCTAATTTGTAAATTTTTTTGTAGAGGCAGGGATCTTGCTATGTCGCCCAGGCTGTTCTCAAACTCCTAGTTTCAAGCTATCCTCCTGCCTCAGTCTCCCAAAGTGCTGGGATTACAGGTATGAGCTACCATGCCTGGCTCCCATTCTTTATAATACCTTGGGACATGGGAGATCAGGAAATAGAAAACAAAGTTATTTTCTCCAAGGCCAGTTGTGACATGCCACCTCTTTCATCTGCCATGTGTTATTCAGTGTTAGAAAGAGGAGTGAACTGAATGAAGAGGAACAAGAGGCAAGAGATGAAACAGAAGAAGCAGGAAGAAGGAGTAGTCTGCACCTGCTGAGAAGTGGTGGCCAGGTGGGCCTTCGAAATCAGAAATCCAGCCCCCTCTCCACTCCTTGCCTCAGTCAGCACGGTGTCCATCTGATGTGTTTCCATCTTGTATTCAAGTCTTGCTTCTGGATTGAGACTAGCAAAAACAATATACTTCCTAAAGGATCATTTTTCAAATATTTATGCATGTGGAATGGCAAAACCCTGTAAGTTTGCCCAAGTGAGGGTATGCTGATCTAACTCCAATATGCCTTGAGACACTGAACACACCAAGCAGTTAAAATAAGATAACAGAGCCAGAAGGGGTGGCTCATGCCTGTAATCCCAGCACTTTGGGAGGCTGAAGCAGGCAGATCACCTCAGGTCGGGAGTTCAAGAAACCTGTCTCTAAGAATACAAAATTAGCCAGGTATGGTGGTGCATGCCTGTAATCCCAGCTGCTCGGGAGGCTGAGGTAGAAGAATCACTTGAACCTGGGAGGTGGAAGTTGCAGTGAGCTAAGATTGCACCATTGCACTCCAGCCTGGGCAACAAGAGCGAAACTCTTTCAAAAAAAAAAAAAAATAGGATAACAGATTTTAAATCTAGGATAGTCACCAATGTAGGCATTCCATCTGACTCACTCCCAGAGATGTCTCTGCCTCTCTTTCTCTCTGTCTCTTTTCCTATCTGTGTCTCCCTGTCTTTCTCACACACACACAAACACACATATGCACATGCATACTTGCAAACTTAAAAACACCTTCAAGCTCTCTTTATTGTCCAAGAGGAATTGTGCTGTACAAATACGGTGACCTTTCAGAAAAACTTTACTTCATTTTCGTTTTTTAACTGCTGTTAAACCACAACTCTGGAATTGTGTTTCTGAAAAAAAGATACATACTTAAATTTTTTAAGAGATAAATGAACAATATCTAACATTGATAACAGTAGACCCTGTTGTGAATGCATGCAACTTCTGAAAGGAATACAGAAACATAAATCTTCCACATTTAAGTGGAACAATGGTGACATAAAGACAATCCTGAAAAATGACTCTTCAATACTTTGAGATTCTCATAAACAATCTTTTCTCCAGAAAGCTATAAAGAGTAGTTTTGCCTGAGTCAGAGCAATTTTATGTAACTAATAGCACCCTCTGGATCTATGAAAAATTGACATTCTCCATGACGGACCAAGTTTGGGACGTGGCTCATAAAAAAGCTCCCAACAAGACTTCCATGCTTATTTTCTCCTTTAGATCCAGAGCAAACATGGGCAAACTATGACTCAAGGGCCAAATCATCTGGCCTTTAGACTGTTTTTGTAAATAAAGTTTTATTGAAACGTAGACACACTATTTTGTTTACATATTGTCTACGGCTGCTTTTGGGCTCCAAGGACAGACCTGAGTAGCTGCCAACAATCATATGGCCCACAAAGCCTAAACTATTTCTCTCTGGCCCTTCACAGAACAAGTTTGCTGACCCCTGAGCTAGAGGGATGATTTCCCTCTTCTATCACTCTTGTGAACTGAAAGTCAGGAAACCTTGATTTTAGACTCATTCCATTATGCCAGTCAACTTCTGTGTGACCTTGGGCCAGTAATTCTTTTCCTCAGGTTTGTCTTCTTATTTGTAAAATAAGGTGGTGGGGACTGGCCCTGGTGATCATCTATTCCTTATTAATTCCCTCTAAATTTCTGTGTTCTAAGGGGATTGAGACCTTTCAATTTTTAAAAGGAGTTTATTTTTAAAAGGAATCCAACTCAATCAAAAAGACATCTTTCCTCAAAACCCTGGTTTACACTGTAACACTTTACATCATTTCAAGCTTTCAATACTGGGTATAATCCCTTGCTACTGTATCATAGTCATACCAGAAAGCTGCGGGTTAGACCTGGAACAAGAATTATAAATAGCAGTAAAAGCTGTTTTAGACAAGACGGCACATCTGCCCACTGCATCCCCTTCCCAAGAGACACATTGCATTGCTTGTGCCAGAGATGAACGCTCTTTTCTGTCATGTTTTAGTAAGTGAGAACTCTACCTCCTCTGCAGCTCTGGGACCCTGAGGGAAATGACAGGAGTCATCCCACTGAAGGAGCACTTTGAATTCATGACAAAGGCAAAACTCTCTTTTTTCAACAGAAATGGGGTTGCTAGCTGTCAAAAACTTGGGTGCCACTGGCATTGCACAACTTCTCTCTAGACATATGACATAAAGCTGCCACATTAAAGAAATGATAGTATAGCAAGAACTGTCTCCTCTCTTCCAAAATCTTCATAACAGCAAAGGATCTTTTGCAATTGCTACTTGACAGAATAAAAGATTTGAGATATTATGTTATCTCAAAAACAAAATCACTTACAGAGCTTTAAATAGAGATCAGAAAATGCACTAGACCTCAGTGGTAATAACTATTATTTTAAAACCTGAAAGCCTGTTATCTTTAAAATAAATATTTTTCTTCCACATTCTTTCTGCCTGGAAAATAAAGGTATTTGGGGATATCTCTGAGTCTCAGAAATGATTGGTTCTTAGTCTCCATAGTAGGAAACTTTGAATAGACATATGCAAACATGGAATTTAGAAAGCAAAATGAATGCATCCTCACTTTAAAATGTTCTATTTTAAAACGGAAAGGAGAGCCTATCAAATGGAGCCACTCAAGAGTTTTTACAAAACGGAAAGAGAATACATGTTAACATATAAACTTGTTGTAGGGTTGACAACATTGATATCTGAATATCAATGACATATTCAGAAAACATTCAGAGCTTGGTTATGGTGTTCCTGGTAAATATCTATGGTCTACTGAGCTCTGTGCCTTTACCACATATTATATAGTTTGGCTGGCACCTTTGTTTTCAATAAGTGCTTTTCTTTGCAAGAAAAAGATGCTAGTGAGTGCCATCTATCATTTCTGCTAGCTCATCTTCCAAAATCCCAAAGAACAGCACTGTCTGCTTTTCTCTCCCTGACAGAGAAACCTCTGAACTGGATGCTAATATTTTGCAGACCAAGCATGAGCCAAAATGGATTAAAAAATCTAAGCTGGCATATCTGCACCAGTCTAAGCACTTTCAAAGGAAGAACTGCAATGTTAAGCTGATTATCGTAGCCGTGGTTCTCCCTTGTCCAGTCCCCTCCACGAGTTCTGTATTTTATAGTAATTTACCTTCTTTTCTTTGCCAGTCAGTATTCATCTCATCCTCTCAGATCCTGCTTAAGTCCCATCTCTGTGATCACACTTCTCTCCAGCCCTCACAATGTTTTGAACATAGAAGGGGCTTATAAAAATTGTTGGTTTGTTTTGAAAGTCTTCCTGGATGACCTCAGCCCATGTTGATCTCTACCTTCCTTAACTCCTTTGAGACTTACCGCCTATCCCATAATTAACACCTTACTATCCTTGGCTCTAATAGACTGTACCACAGAATGCATTTCATTTCTTCTTTATAATTGTTTCACGTGAGTTGATTTTCTTTCTCCAATTAAATTGTCACCTCCCCATAAATGAAGCTGTGTTTCCATAATATCTAAACAAACTGTTAGGCACAGAGTGGACATCCAAAAAATATTAATTTTCAACCTATAGCAGCTTTCACATTGCTTGAAAGCTTTGATAGCTTGTGTCATAGGCAACTGAAGACCAAACCTTTTTTTAATCATAAATAGCAATAAAGTAGTTTAACTGAAATTCCCAGTGTGAAATTTTAAATAAATATACATTAATATCAGGGCCAAATGAAAGGGACTGTTTTGGTTATTATTTGCAAGGTAGAATGTCAAAATATGTAAAAAGAAGAGCCAAATAAGCAAGGAAGAATATGTGTATTCTTCACTTTCACAAGGAAGAATACGTATGAAACTCCCTTTCAGCAAGAATAGAAAATTTAACTAATGGATCAGGTATAGGCCAAAATGATTACAAACTAACAACTCATTCCTTTATATATATATATGTCTCATATAATTTTCATGTATCGAGTCTGACTGTGCATATAACACATTTGGAAAACTGCATAATCTTTTATGGCACACCTACTTTCTTCAAGGCTCACAGATTTCCAGAGTTTACACCTTGCACAGTGTTTAGAATATGTCTGCGGTGAAAGGAATCTGCTAAGCTAATGTTTATTTAACAAACACTTTGTTTGGAAGCATCCTGACAACTCAAACATCTGTTTTAACTAAAAACAGCAACTGAGCTGACCTACTACATTGATAAAATTTGAAAAATTGCTCAATATTCCGCTTTATTCTGCCTTATTCTTTATTCTTTATTTTATGGACAAAGACTAATGCTTTCCATGCCACCAAATTAGTACTTAAGTGGTTAAAGTAACCAAAGGAGCTTTTGCATACTCTATGCCAGCTGGTGTTCTACCGAGAATTAGACCTGAAATACCCAGCTCTCAGGACAAGCAATTAGTACAGAGCTTTAGTTGTTTAGCTGGGGGTTTCATTAATATGGAAGAGACAATAAAACTGCTATTTACACTATTACAGAGTTTGATTTAAGCATTTCATGTTAGGACACCTCACATATGAAATCAGTGAAGGGCTTGTATAAAGGAGGAAAGCAATATTAAGCTCATCAGACACAAAACAAAACTGAGCCAAGGAATATTTGTGTTATGTTTCAAGTCAAATAACACATTCTTTAGTTGCAAGTGAGACAAGGTTTATTTTTTCTTAAGTGGCTAACCTCTGGAAGTAATTTGTGAGACCAGAGAAAAAGAACACAAGTTTGAAAGAAACGTCCATTCTGAGTCCAAACTTTGCTGTCTCTTCCGCAGCATTTCCATGATTGCTATGGTTTTCACTTTGCAAACTCCCTCATGGTGACATTTAGGTTTAGGTCCTGGATCAATAACTTTTTTTCCAAAGTTTAGTTTCATTGTAGCTATTACTGCTGCAGATAAAACTCCCTTTATAGATATGATATGTAGATGTGGGTTTGCTAATGTTTAATGAGCCAGAATTTACTAGAAGAGCTATGTAGAGGCATGTGAATTTATCCAAGTGTCTGGCATGAACAGAGCTGGTCAGATAAATAATGTGTTTACAAAATGGGGTAGAACATTATTGAGTCACTGATGAAATATAGTTGATGGAAGCTTCTTGGAGAAACAGAACTATGCAAGAGAGGATTTAAAAAGGGATTTGTTGAAGGATCATTGTCCAAAGAAGTAAACAGCCACTTTGGGTTTCAGAAGTCTGTGGAGAAAATAGAAAATGAAGAGGTATTCTGGCCAAAGTCCAAGTAATAAGCAAGCTCTGACACCAGGATTGGACCTAAGATTAAGCACAGGCTTGCCAGCTAGGGAAAAGACAGGTTGAAACAACTACAACTGCAACC